CACCAAACATCAAAAAGTCTGCGACACGCAAGAGCAGCAACAAGACTGTGACAAGCAGTACCACAGCGCCCGACATACACTCTTGGCTACAGAACATTCCAGGACCGACAATACACAGCGAAGACCCGCCTCCTTATACTGCAGAGCAGCCAAAGTCACCCGAACAGTCATTACGAGCACGCCAAAACCAGTGTTCGACGACTTCTCAAAATGAACCAAAGCTCACCCTGGCAGCTACAACGCGCAGGCTGAAGTGGAAGAAAGCTATCTTGGCCATATGCGAGCACAAGGCCTTCACATGACTCAACTGCGTAGCCTTCACAGCAGATATGCTCGAACCGTGCAAAAGCCGTATCGCATTTGCATCTCTTGTATCGCCCCAATGGCATTCTGTCATCTCTGCAAGACGTCCAGGAGGCACCCGCTGCCTGGGACAGGCCTGTCTGCACACACCTCAAGATCAACGACGTCCACGTCTTCTCATCGTTGGCAAGGCACTTCCATCTTCCGACCGAATGCTTTCGAAGAGATCTCAACAGGGATGCTGAACATGAAAGTCGAGGCCGCGAGAACATCTTGCAAACCAAGAGCATAGAGCTGCTAAGAAATGCGAAAGGGGATTGTGGTGAGCTGCATTGCGACACGCACTTCGGGTTGGAATGGATTTCTGACGGTGGTGGGATTGGGTTTTGGGTAATCCGACGCTTGGGAACTATGTGACTCTCGAACGCCGAAGAGCTCGACCTTGAGCTGTCCGCCTACCTCAAACTACAGCCTGGCAACTACAACGCACAAGCTGAAGTCACTAGATGCCAATTTCGGCCTACGTAGCCGCCACGCGCATCACCAGCGGTCACGACAGCGTTCGACCCACGCACACAAGACTCGCAAGAATACCCCCATTCCAGTCATTATACCGTTATAATTTGAGGCCGACGCGATCAACCTTCCACGATCCATGGCGGAGGTCGACCGGGTCTATTTCCAAAACTACGTCAAGGAGGAGACATATTGAAAGAACTGCGTGCGCAGATTACCAAACCTAACCCAGGCGTATACGTAGACACCGCCAACACACTATCCTCCAGTGTGAAGTACTCGAATGCGGTATATAAGCTCTCGAATCCACGCTCTATTGCTTCTCCACAACTACCCACTACCACTACCACTACTACATTAAGCAATACTACCAAAACCACACTACCAGTTTCAAAAGCCAACCAAAACACTCAACAAATTCTCCCCAATTCAACTACCAGTTCTGCCTACCACCGTACTCAAAAGCACCCTTCCTCGAACCACAAAACATCACCATGTGCACCTACGAGCCAGTTTTCTACATGGGCTGTGGCCATAGCAAGAACGAGTTCGTCAAATCCTGCCTGGGAAAGAGAAACGGATTCGCGTGCTCAGAGCCAAATTTTCTTAGGGCGAGAAGGAGCACGGGGAAGTGCAATAACCCCTGCAGATGATTGAGGAGAGATCTTCGTCATTTTCCTTCAGGAGAGAAGCGACGACGAGGATAGGAGGATAGCGGGATGGAAACGCGATTTGTTTGGCGGATGACATAGGACATGTTTGATTGATGTATCAATGAATGAATGAATGATGTATGAAATGCTTTTGCTGTGGTGATTGCCGTGCTGTTTGATATGGTAGAGTTCTGATAGCCGCATGTTTGGATATGTGACTAGGGAGAGTACAGTAAAGCCCAATTTGACATGAAGGTCTTCCCGAATACGTGAGTCTCGTTGGAGCGTATACTTCCAGTCACACGTCCACGTATCCTCCAGGAATAAGTGTGAAACTTAGGAATACAGTATCGCTGCGGTCGCCACTTGATCAAACCGAGCCTTGTTATCGTGCATTCTCAGGAATAATCACAATATGTCAACATATCCACGTTTGATGCTTCACCCTTCGATGGTCGTGAACGAGCGATCAACCATACATGAAGCTGTCCGACAAACACCTCCTTGTGACAGCGGCATGAGCGTATAATACTCTCAGTAGCCTCGCTGCTTTGGTACACAATTTATACATACAACAAAACATCAACCTCTATCATGCCAACCATCCATTATCAGCAGCACAACATCCAACACACCCCAAGCACACCATACATCAAATCCAAAGCCTCATACACCATCCTCCCAAGTCCTCTAAAGCCATCATGTGCCGAATCCACAAAGTCATATTCAACGGCTGCGAGTACAAGTGCGAAGGCTCACGTACAATCATCACATGCCCGACCCGCTGCCCAGGGCATGCTTGTATAAACTGGACGAAGTCGGGCAAGGAAATCATTCAGGTAAGGGCTCTTCCGCTATGAAGAATCGTCTGTGCGAGACAGGAGCTGACCTGGTAACAATTGTTAGGTTGCAGATAAATGCTCAGGCCATGGCGGGCCGGTAGAGATCACGGAGGAGGTTGAGAAAAAGTGAGGCGAGTCCGAGCGAGGGGTGGAGCGGAAGAGTTAGGTGGGAGAGGTGATTGAGCGGGATGGGTGAAACGGGAGAGATGGATGGATGGGATCTGTTACGAGCGATGTTCAGCTGTTGAGTGTGCAGCGTAGTCAAAATGGAATATGCCAGTTGTATTCGACCGCCAACGCGTCTTGACTATTCCGGAAGGTACTCGGTGCCATGTGTCTTTGCCGATGTTGATGGAACATACAGCGCAGTGCTGCAGACCCTACTGTCAGCGGAGTGACTTTGAAGAGTCCCCAGTAGTGACATGCGCGGCGTCGCTCGAGATAAGAAGATAGCGTGGACGAGACGAGAAAGTGTGATGTCGGACGCGGCCGGCTCAGATATATTGTATATTCCGTACTGAGTGCGATGTTGGGGTATATTCATGTACCGGCTGCAGGATGTCGAAGCAGACAAGAAGCGTACTCTCACCTCTCACCATGACGTATGCGCAGGCGAAGGCGACAGCAGAGACTGAAGGTCGCGTAAGTCAAAAAGCTTGCTCCGTCATCGCACGGATAGCAAACGCTCATAGGCGGGTCGTGCCTGCCCATCTCAAGCTCTCAGCACCTTCAACCAGCGTCACCCACAACACCATCGCCATGGAACTCGGCATGATCCCCACATCGCCAGGTAAGTCGGAATGCTTCAGCGCCCCATCGAGACGGTCGCGCGTGCTGTACCAGGCATGCGCGTTCATATGAAGTCCACGACGCTAACACCTACTTTAGTAGGCAACGAGGACTATGAAGTACGCGCCATCCCCGGGAAGGGCTATGGATGCGTCAGCCTCAAACCCATCGCGCGCGGTACACGCATCCTCGCGGAGGACCCCCTCCTGATCGTCCCGGTCGGCGACTACATGCTCTCCGATGTTCAGAAAGCCTTCGATAGCCTCACATCCTCGCAACAGACACTCTACTATACGCTTCACTCAAGCCATGGCCAGGATCCGAAGAAGTGGCCGTCGCGCATCCACGAATCAGTCCCACCTCAAGAAGTTCTTCGAATTAAAGAACAACACAAAGCGCGAACCGATCCCTCACCAAGTCTGATCAGTATCTTCCAGACAAACTGTATGGAGATGAATGCAGGCGCCGCAGTATTCCCGCACGCCGCCCGCTTCAACCACTCTTGCAACCCAAACGCCTGCTTCTCGTGGAACGCCTCCATCGGCAAAGAAACCATTCACGTCATGAATCCGATTGCCGCGGGCGAAGAGATCACCCTATCTTACTGCGACATGATCCACGACAAGTCGCTCCGCGCATACGAGCTCAAACACTACGGCTTCACCTGCGATTGCCCGGCCTGCAGCGACGATGAAGAGGACGAGACATCATACGGAGCCCAGAGTGCAGAGCGCCGATTCCGACTACAAGAGCTGGAGCGTGAGACGAGGTTTTTCCGTGGTGCAAACCTGGAAAAAGGCGCACAGCGAGATGACTTCGTGAAGAAGCTGTTGCAGTTGGCGGCTTTGCACAAGGCTGAAGGGGACTATACCGCCAGACTGGCAAACGTGTAGGTGGCAGTCGGCGTGACTAACCCCAGGCTGGGATTTCGAAAATCCCCTACGGTTGTGAAGGCCATGTCGTCGTCAGAATGGGTCTTGCTCTTGACGTGTTTGCTAACGTTTGGTCAGATTTCTCGATATTGCGCTAGTCTGTGAGCTCAGGGGGGACCTTGGTATGGCGGAGTTGACTGCGGGCAAGGCTGTGGAGGTCAAGAGGGACTGCCAGGGGGCGGATTTCCCCAACTACAGCAGGTATACTGACGTGCTTCATCGGATCAAGTCGAAGGTGGCTCTACGTGGCTGAGGGGAGGTGGGGCTACATGGGGCTCTGAATCGGGAACGGGCGCTGGGCGGACTGTACATTAGCAAGATCTGTGAGAGATTCTTGGGAGTAACGGAGTATAGACAAAATGGAGCGAAGTATGAAGTGCGAAGCCACCCGTCGTGATGTTGTTCCAAGAATATCGCTAGCGCACCTGCAGCCGCCCCTGCGCGTACCCTGAGAGTCTGAGACACGGCAAGCCTCACGCCAACACGACTGACGGCTGCCAACGCGTCAAGCCCACCGCATCTTCACTTATCGCGCAAGCAACCATGCGCAATGCGAAAAAAGAAAGAAGACCTAGCACTGGAAGCGGACGCCGCTATTCCACACAAGCATCACGACTAACACGACAGCGGGAGCTAACAGGCAGGTTTCAACAGGCGCTGACGTCGCTGCGTGTACCTGCGTCTCACAGCGCGTCGCAAGTCTGGCGGTGTTTCGGGTCTTTGTTCAAATATCCAACCCTTCCACACCTCGTGTACTTGCCGACATTCTATACTTGCTAACCGGTAGACTCCATTTACGCCCTTTCGTATCGAGAGTGCTGCGCCCCCCGAGCGATCACCATTTCAGCGGCCCTCTAGCTCCGGCCCAGCTGGCATCCGTGAGCTGAGTAACACCGGACATAGATACATCACAACATACGCGCCCGACCTCCTGACTCACCTATCGCAAACTTCTCACCGTCACCATGGAAGAGTCAGATGTCAAGAAGGCTGCCGAGGTGCCTGCGCCCATCGCGACTTCCGCACCGCCGCTGTCAACATCGCAACTTCCCTCACCACCCCACTCACAAACCGGCCACCAGGCTGACCCCAAGATGTCGGTCGACGCCGCAGACAGTATGACGCCGCCGTTCTCGCCCTCGAGCCAAACACCCGTCTTGCAGAAAGAACAGGAGGAGTTTGAGGGCACCGTCGACGTCAACAACGACATCCCTACCGACAAGGACCTGAGCAAGGTGGAGGACCTGCTGGTGTTGGATGCGCAGGGCCAGAGCAGACCCTTCAAGGAGCTATACAAGGCGCCGCATGTCGCTTCGAGGCAGCTGATCATCTTCATACGGCATTTCTTCTGCGGCGTAAGTAGGGATTCACGCGTCATATAGACAGAGCTGACACACCACAGAACTGCCAGGAATACCTCCGCACGATCGCCTCCTCCATCAAACCCGACGACCTCCTCGCACTGTCCACGCCCACCTTCATAACCGTCATCGGTTGCGGCCGCCCCGAACTCATCCCCATGTACACCGAGATCACGGGCTGCCCCTTCCCCATCTACGCCGACCCCACGCGCAAACTGTACGACCACCTCGGCATGACGCGCACCTACAATCTGGGAAGCAAGCCTGAATACATGCAGACCCATGTCCTCATAAACTCAGTCCAATCCATCTTCCAATCTCTCGGTACTGGTCGCAAAGCGCTCAAAGGCGGCGACTTCAAGCAAGTCGGCGGAGAGTTCCTGTTCGAGAACGGCGAGTGTACGTGGGCGCACCGGATGAAGACTACACGGGGACATGCGGAGTTGTCAGAGCTGAGAAGACTGATCGGGCTGGATGACGCGAGGCCGCCTGTGAGGAGGAAGTGGAGTCATGATGTCAAGGAGGATAGCAAGGGGAAGGAGAGGAAGAGGGCCATGAGCTGGGGCAGGCTGCGGAGCAAGAGTAAGGGTGGAAAGGACTTTTCGAGGGATGCGAGCAAGGGGTCGACGCCGGAGAGGATACTGGAGGAGGAGGAGCCGCGGAAGATGGTGGGTAGTCCGACGATATGAGTATACGTGTATGAGGTGTTTGGTGTTTGGTTCAACTTGGCTGCATGGTTCTCCTGGCGTTACTGGTATCTGTCTACTGTGCGTGGTCTTTTCTGTCGGCTCAGCCCTACGATATCGGCAAATGAAAGCTCTTCAATTTCAGTCACACGTGCGCCGAATGATATGCTATCGATACATACCACCTCAACACCATGAATCGCATTGCTAAAAGCCGTATATATGTACATCACCCTGTCGTATACACCGTCCAGATCCGGCAAGTAGATCCGCCGCGCTCACATGCCGAGACCATGACATAACACCTCACTTTCTCCACAAGTGGCTAAGATGCCCGGCCCACGCACCATCACAACCAATCACCGCGCAAAATCCAGCAGTTAGGCTTGGAGCCGCCAACTCCGAGCCAGCTACGAGTTTGAGCCTCAAGTCGCGAGCGTTACGCGCAGCAGCACCGAGGCGCGTCCGACGAATCGAGGGCGAATGAGGGGCAATGGAGGGGCAGTTATGACGATTACCTATCACTGCGACCAGCCCCACAACGCCTCGTACAAAAGCTACCGGAGCCGCTCGAGCTTTCTGGAGTAGTGTGTTATTTCCCCTCCCGGTGACGGTATTCGTATATATAAGAGCTGGTACTTTGTTACTTCCTCTCGACACACGTTGAAACTCTTCCCACGTACTACTGAACCGAGACATTAACGCTACAATGTCTGCTGATACCGTTGGAAAGGTATGCCGAACCCCGCTTCTTGCATTGGAAGCTGCGCGACGCGTTGAATTGTTACTGACATTGCTATTCAGACTATTACCTGCAAGGTACGTACCCTCGAGCTTCTGCCTCCTACGCGACATCGTCATCGCGTCGTGCTTCATTCTTCTGAGCATCAGATTCCATCATCAGGCTTGGCATGCGGATCCGCAGAAGATTCGCGACGCGTGATGCGCGATGACGCTGATGTTACCCGCGAACGCGATCTCGGAAACAACAGCCGACGAATTGAACTCTGACATGACCACAGGCTGCAGTTGCTTGGGAAGCCGGCAAGGACCTCTCCATCGAGGAGATTGAGGTTCTCCCTCCCAGGGCACACGAAGTCCGCATTCAGATCTACTACACCGGTGTCTGCCACACAGATGCCTACACACTCTCCGGCAAGGACCCCGAGGGTGCCTTCCCCATCGTCCTCGGTCACGAAGGTGCCGGATACGTCGAGTCAGTCGGTGAGGGCGTCACCAACGTAAAGCCCGGCGACCACGTCGTTGCCCTCTAGTATGTCCATCCCTCCAAGTACTCCGTTCATATCTAACGTAAACAGCACCCCCGAGTGCAAAGAGTGCAAGTTCTGCAAGTCCGGCAAGACCAACCTCTGCGGCAAGATCCGCGCCACACAAGGAAAGGGTGTCATGCCCGACGGTACCTCGCGCTTCCGCTGCAAGGGCAAGGACCTCCTCCACTTCATGGGCACATCCACCTTCTCGCAATACACCGTCGTAGCCGATATCTCTGTCGTCGCCATTGAGGAAGACGCCCCCATGGACCGTACCTGCCTGCTCGGCTGCGGAATCACAACCGGATACGGTGCCGCCGTCATCACCGCCGGCAAGAACGGTGTAGAAGAGGGATCCAACGTCGCCGTCTTCGGCGCTGGATGCGTCGGTCTTTCCGTGATCCAAGGAGCGGCCAAGAACAAGTCTGGCAAGATCATCGTAGTCGATGTCAACGACGCAAAGGAGGAGTGGGCCAAGAAGTTCGGCGCGACACACTTTGTCAACCCAACCAAGCTCGGCAACCAGTCTATCCAAGAGAAGCTCATCGAGATGACCGACGGAGGCTGCGACTACACATTCGACTGCACAGGCAACGTCAATGTCATGCGCGCCGCCCTCGAGGCCTGCCACAAGGGCTGGGGTGAGTCCATCATCATCGGTGTCGCAGCCGCCGGCCAAGAAATCTCCACCCGCCCCTTCCAGCTCGTCACCGGCCGTGTATGGAAGGGCTGCGCATTTGGTGGTGTGAAGGGCCGCACCCAACTTCCCGGCCTCGTCGCGGATTACAAGCGCGGAGACCTCAAGGTTGACGAGTTCATCACCCATCGCCAACCGCTCGACAAGATCAACCAGGCTTTCGGTGACATGAAGGCTGGTGACTGCATTCGTTGCGTTGTCAACATGCGCGAATAACTACGCTCGGGCCCCACGCCTAGGTTGTGATAAGGTTGTGTTTTGAGCGGATTTCTTTCCTTTGTTAGATGTATCTAGGACGCGATGCTGGGGGTTAGAGAGCATGGCGAGGTGTTGATGATGTAGCATGAGTCGGCGTTGATGTACAAAATGGAATGATATGATACCATAAAATCTTTGATGTCTACATGGCTCTCGTTATTATCAGAGATCATATCGAAAAGCTGCATTTCCGAATACATGGTACTATTCCTGTCGATTCCACCCAGTTCCGAAAGGTTTGTAGTCAGTAGGCATGTATTTGGGAATTCCGGTGGCTCCTTCCAAAAGCGTCGTGTTCGGCAGGTATGAATTTGGAAACTCGTTTGACCGCTTCCAAGAGGGTTTTAGTCCTCAAACATGGTTATGTGGTTTCGATGGCCTATCGGGAGTGCGATGTATGCCTCTGGGCAGTTTTGCCGTACCACGTTGCGAGAGGGCCCGTGCGCGCGAGCATATACTTCGAGGTTGCTCCTTCCTTCCTTCTTGAACATCAACGTTTCACTTTCACTCATCTTTTTCCAAAAAAGCATTCAGAAACCTGCTATGGCTGCGCTGCCTGCCCCTCCAAAAGGCGTTGAGCCGGAACAACGTCTTCAGCTTTTGGCTCAAAATATCACGAAGACGATGTCATGTCTGTTCCTATCTGGTTCAAAAATATTACGACAATCTTATCATGTCTGCCCTCTGGCACCAAAACACTACAAAAGTCAAGCCATGTCCGCCGCTGTCTGTGTCTCTCCAGCATCAACACATCATCGAAGCAACACCAAGGACTCTGCGATATCCGTTATCTCTGGGGGACTGGCAGATCTCTCCATGCCGTTGCACCTCAAGGTATCTGTCATCGCGCTTCGATCCTTGCAGTGACGTGTCAGCAACGAAGAGCTTCGGGTGTGAGTCATGGAAAGCAGTGTCGGCCTGACGGTGAACCCCACTGTCGCGTCGACCGTTCTCACCACGATCTGCAATGTCTGGTCCGGCGGCGCACCTGCGAGGAAGAGGCTCGGTCAGTCTCCGCGGAATGACGCGAGCTATGCTGAGGGCGGTGAGACTCATCGTCGCATCGACACACTCACCACGACATGAAGCATTACTGTCTCCTGCTGCTCGTCTTTCCTAACACACCTCACCACGACATGACGCTTTTGGTGTCCAGCGGCCTCTAGCACACCTCACCACGACATGCATCGTCACCTTCTCTCACTGGTGGTTTGCGACGACGCACTCACCTTACACACCTCATTGCCTCCTCTCTCCGGCCCTGCCCTACAACATACTCGCCTTACACACCTCATCCTCTGCGGCTGTCCGGCCTTCTTCCTTACCATGAAATACCGCCTTCGACGTATCGCAAGCAAGCTAGCGAAGAGCTTACGCTCAATAGCTCGTAACAACAAGGCTACTCGACTACTTACACGATCCGGCTGGACAACTAAGTCGTCTGCGACTCTCGGAGTACCCCACGGCACACCTCACTACGACATGCAGCGAGATCTTTGCTTGGTGTTGGTCTGCAACGGCATACTCGCCTTACACACCTCATTTCCACGCCGTCCGACCCTCTTCCCTACCACACTCCTGCCTTCCCGCCGGCGGTCGCATACATGGTTATGGTTAGCTCCTTCCGCGACACGTTTGGGCATGACGGGGTGCGCGCACAGGATCGGGCAGCAATACTCGTCTTACACGGCGTCCATCCTCCGGTTGTTTTTGTTCAGACGCTTCCTCATACGCCTGGGGTGTCGTCGATGGTTATGGTCTTGCCCCCGGCAATACGCCGACTTCTTATCCTGTCAAACACTCCAACTTAGCACATACGACCATAGGACAATGAGAATTAGGCTTCCCGTCCGCTCAGCCATATACAAGCATTGTACCGGCGGATTAGTAGTTAGGTGGGTGACCACTAGCGAATCCCCGCTGTTGTATGTTTTTGCCTTCCTTTTGCCATTTTTTTTTGGTGGTGGAGACGGGTGGGTGGTGTGGGGCGGTTCTTCGGCTTAACTTATGCATTGAAGGGGAAGCAGCAATACTCGCCTTACATGTCTGGGGGTCTGGCGCTTCCCTCTGCAGAGAGTAGCCCGACAGGACGAGCTAAGATTTGGTCTTCTCGCTGTCTGGCTGATCGTTCTCACAGCCACTGCTTCTAGCCGATGGATTAATTCGGAGGCGAGCGCAGCAATACCCGCCTTACACATTCTGGAGGTTCGCATGACGCTAAAGATTGGGGCTCGAGTGGTTGGCTCAACAGCTCACCTGCCTGCTGTTGTCGCAGCCATTGTCACATCCTTCTCGTTCTATGGAACCCCTAAAGACTGCTGCGCCTGGCCGATAGACTAATTCGGAGCTTTAGAGACGAGGGCTCTCCTGTTACGCTTAGTCTCTGAACCTCAGATATGCGTGGCCCAAGAAGAAGAAAGTAGCCTGGCCGATCAATCAGTTCGCATTGCATAGGTCCATCACAACAACAACTCAACGCGGACTTGCGGCTGCGGCGAGGACTTGGCCACGGTCAATAGCGATGACTCCGACGAAGCAAACGCCCTATCCGATGGACGATTTCGCTTGGTAGTGGTTTCTGGGTGCTCTCGCCTCCAGAAGTCGACTGAACCTGTTGTCGGTCTTTGGCAGATTTTGGCAATGGTGGTCGGCTATGAGTGTGATTTATAAATTGGCGGAAGGCAGAATAGACAGCGCTGAAGAGCATACTAGATCACCCATATCTGCTAATAAAATGAACGATAAAACGTCACCTAAACTTGACCTTGATCTCGCAGCTTCCCGATACCTTCGTGCCTGCTTTATTGGGTTTTCCAAGTGGGGGCCGTGCCTCTTTTGCACGCTCTGGAAGTGCCTCTGACACTGTGGCGACAGGCAACGATGCGTCATTCCGTCTCTCTTTGAAAAGAAAGATTGAGGCAACGGTGACTGCGAATGCGCGTCGGTTCGTCTGCAAGCATCAGACGTGAGACCGACGCGTCGCGGGGACTTGTTAGCGCTGACTAAGACAGACCCTGAGGGGCCATTCGACACCCACCAGCGCGTCTCCGCGTACCTTGCTGGTCTTGCACATTGCATGCATACCCACCACCGCCAAACCTTCACTACGCGATGAAGTACAACGTGCGTAATCCCGATCCGGAAACGTTTTCGCGAAAGGGTATTGAGCCGCAACGAGGCAGACCTGGCAGGAGGCTTCTCTAGTCCCTCGACATGCTTCACGACATCATCGCTACGAATGCGCGTCGATACTCCAGACACGGTCTTCCGAAAATCCTCGAAGCCTAGATGTATCCCGATAGTACTTGCGCCACCCGATACCGTTCGTCGTTGCACTGCGAAGCTACACTCAACCACCGATCACGCGTCGAGGACGATGCTACACCTGCTGGTGGGAGACGAAAGAGCGGTAGGAAGACATACATGAGGCTCCCAGTGGACGGTCTTGATTACCAATACGGCGCACAACTGGGGACGGGGACCGCTACTTTCGTTGCTTACGCCGAAGCTAGCCCTCGTGATGGCACGCGGAGACAGGCTGGTACCACTCATCACCAAGTGGCAATCACGGGCACACTTCCTGTCAGACAATGGGGGCAGCTACAAAGACAGTATCAAGTCACTGGTCTGGCCATCGCAACCACCGTTGTCTCGCTCAGGCCCGGAACGACGAGCTCTGGAAGAAAGGCAATGGCTGTACTCTTCGGCCATTCAGTGTCGAGTCCTAGATATCACCCCTGAGATATGATATACCTGGATCCTAGGCATTGGGTCTGGACAGAGTTTTAGCTCACATGATGTGCATCTAACGGCAACGGCCGCTGGATCTAGGAGATTCTAGACTGACAAGATATCCCCGCGATGCCCCTTACGCTGGGACCTGGGCGGCACGTGTCATAACGGTGGAAGCTTGACTGACAACACAAGCAAGCTAAGCTAAAGCTTGGCTAGACACATCAGTATCGTCGACTTCCACGCCTGGCAGGTACACCGGACCAACACCGGCGTCCCACTCTTACAGCTACGTTGCGACGAATCAGCGCATCACATGGCCGAATACGGTTCGGGCCGTTCACCAAGCTCAATGCAGCGAACGCAGCGAACGCAGCTTGGGCGCATGAGCAGTCCGCGACATGTTCGCGATGGCTTTGGGGTACCATGCCGGCACGGATGCGATGTTTGTAGATCTCCCCGTGACTTCCAACAAGGCAACATGTACGCCGATCTGTCTACCACGCTGGTGATTACCTGGGTATGCTGGCCCATGGGTACCTCGATGGTCTGTCATGCGGGTCATCGTCAATGGCTGTAATAAAAGGATCATTAATGTCCAGTACCCCTTACTACAGCCGCGCAGCCGACTCAGTATGTCCCCACATGGAGTCAATTTTGTGTCTTTAGCTCAGCGTGAGTAGCGATGAAACCAGTCATGCCACCACGCCAACTGAGGAAAAAACTGAACACCCTGGAGTCTACGTTAACGTTGGGTCACCTACTTTGCAAGTTTTTCGTTTGAAGTAGTCTGCAAACGTCTACTAACCTGCAGGTACACTTTCCGGATCTTGTGATTAGTAGTCGATAAGATGAGACTATGTCGCCTACAGTCTGGCAGTGTCACCCCTCGGCACGTTGTCCGGTGCTCTTCAAGTAGCTTCAACTCGGCTATCAGTGACTGGAGCGGAGCCTCACCTACTTCAAAGTCCCACTTCTAACCCAAATTAAAGCCGAAAGAACGAAGGAAATTGTAAACATGACATCTTTTTGCCGCACTGTCCCCTACACCGCATCTCTGAGTGGCCAGCATGACGCCGTTGCGACCTCTCGGCGATACTACGACAGCATCACGTTGTCATCGCGCGCTCGATGTGCGTGGAGAGAGCCGCTTCACCACCGTTGATGTCTATATAAACAGCAAAGAAGGACACTTGAATACTCACCATCCCACGGCTCCTCAACACTACAACACCACAACAACCAACCTTTACCATGAAGTTCGTCACCACCCTCCTCGTTTTCCTCGGTGCCGTTGCCCTCGGTGAGGCATCTGGCTGCAGCGGAGCCCGCCAATGCCAGTGTCTCTTCAACGACGGCTCTCACTGCTGCCTTTACGGCTACGTACGTCTTTCCCCCAATATACCACCGACTTACTCCCTTCCTCTCTTGCTCAAACTGACGATTCTGGCAACAGAACGCCCAGACTGGCGATACATCCGACTGCACCGCCGTCTGCTCCGGCGCATCTCGTCTCCTGCAGAGTGGCGAGAACACTCCTACCAAGTGCAATGCTGGCGGCAAGTTTGCTTGCGCTGGTCTAATCACTGCTCAGGGACGCACTCCTTGCTATAACAACAATGAGAGTATGCTATCTCTTTCTTCTCTCCAAATACTGATATGAGCGCAAGCTAATGAGACACAGCTCCCCCATAAGCGTCTCGTTGTTTTTCATAGGATCGGATGACAAGGTTGTGATTGGAGGAACGGGGGTTTGGGACTGGATTTGGATGGAGGTTTTTTGTTTGCCGTTTGTATTGAATCGATCACTCGGACCTGCTCGGACCTGCTTTGGCTTCTTCGATCTGCTCTTTCTGGTGTACGTGCTGTCCCCCTCTTCAATTCAGCCATTTCCACGTCATGAAATGCCGTGTTTCCAAAAAACGTGGTATACCCCTAGCAATCATCACTGGATTGGTGAAAAGCTTTTTTTTGGGATCATTCACCATTACAACTATCTGTCTTGACGTGCATATTCGCGCAGTCGAGCTGGTGGTTCAGCATTCGGGTGGGCGCGTTCCCGTCGCTATGAAACACCATCGAAACGCGATACGCCACAACAATAATAGCCACCTCATCCATGCATCTTACCAATCTTAGAACCACCTAGCGCAGATCCAAAAAGCTTAGCCAGACTTCATGCCTGATCCCGCAGGCATCAAAGCCAAGTGTCAGTTCATACTAGACAATCATTGCATGTAGAGAAAACTTAAAGGTATATCGTATATTCCAAACTAATCATTAAGGAGCGTAATTGACCAGGGTTCCCAAGCCCGAGTAAACCACGCAATCCACCACTTCCACGCAATTCTATCATACAATACCCAGCATTGACAAGCCCATCCTCTGCGCGTCACAGACGCCGCCAGAGAGACAGACAAATAGCTCCACCCCACACTAACTATTCCAAACTATTCGAGGTATATACAACCCATTCCATTCCATTACCGTATCCATTCATCCTTCTCCTTCGTATTTATGTTGTTTTGTAACCGATCATGATGTTATCGTCGTAAGATGCTGAGCGATGCGTCTAGAAGTCCTCGCCCTCGAGGAGGTCGAGCTCCTCCTCCTGGTCGTCGTTGGTGAGTGCGGGCTGGTTGCGGGCAGCCTCACGCTTGCGCTGGGAGGCACCACCGGCGAGAGGAGCAGTGCCGGTGGTAGAGCCAGTGGTAGAGCCAGTGGCACCAGTTGCGCCAGTAGCACCGGTAGCGCCAGTGGCACCGGTAGCGAGACCAGCACCAGTAGAAGCACCAGTAGTAGCACCAGTGGCGCCAGTAGCACCGGATTGAACACCTGCACCGGACTGAACGCCAGCGGCGGCGCCAGCGTTGGCAGCGGGCTGAGCACCAGTGGCACCAGTGGCTCCGGTAGCACCAGTTGCGCCAGTTGCTCCGGTCGCGCCAGTAGCACCGGTAGTAGCACCAGTCGCGCCAGTGGCTCCAGTAGCGGCACCGGCGTTGGCAGCAGGGGAAGCAGCAGCGGGAGCGGCGGCGGCAGGGGCGGCAGCACCAGCGGCGGCACCGGTAGCAGGAGCGGCGGCAGTTCCAGAGGTGGCGGCACCAGCGGCACCAGCAGCGGGAGAAGCAGCTATGTTAAGTTAGATACTGAAGTAGAGATGATTATGTGTGAAGAACTTACCAGCAGGGGCGGCACCGGCAGCGGGAGCGGCACCGGCGGCAGGGGCAGCAGCAGCAGCTCCAGCCATCTGGACGGGGACACAGCCACCGAAAGGTCCAGCACGAGCAGGGTTCTGGCAACGGACCATGCAGACGTTGCTCTGGCCAGCGACAGTTCCTGTGCAGGTCATGCCAGCGGGCATGGAGACGGTCAGGGGAAGATCCTGCATCTGAGTGTCCCGGTTGCGACCACGGTCGTTACCAGGAAGGTTGGTGGTGACAGTGGCGGCTTGCCAGTTGGTACCAGTACCAGTAGCGTCGACCATGCAAGTGTAAGGACCGGCACCGTCAGAGTTGACCTGATGGACAGTCATCATGACTGAACCACCAGCAGAGACCTGAGGAAGAGTGGCGCCGTTGAGCTGCATGACCTGAGCAGTACCAGCCGCGATGTCGTTGGCACCTCCACCGAGTGTCTCACCGCAAGTGTCTGCGGCGTCACCACGGAAGCGAGTGGCATCCTGTTGGAAGGGGTTGCGGTTGGTACCGTCACGAGGAGTGTTGGGGTCGACACCGATGGCGGAACCGGCACCTCCTGCATCACCAGTAGCCTTGATGATGGCAGCGTGGCCAGCCACGAGGGAAGAGGAAGCCAAAAGGCTGATGGAGATGGTGGCAATCTTGGAGAACATGTTGATTTTGTTGATTATTGTCTGAACCGGTCAGAGAAAAGATTAGGTAGTGAAGTGAAGAGGTATTAGATAATAGAAGAGAAGAGGAGTGGTGATTACTGTAGTTGCTGGGTTGGGAACCTGTTGCTTGATGCTCTTCTAAGGTTGCGAGGCCGGCCGTCTTTATACAACGTCTGGCAGCACAGGCAGACACCGAGAAGGGTATTCGGCATCGTGACCAGCATCGACTTTGGTTAGTTCCAAGGTGGTGAGGCGCTCCGGTTTGGCCAAGACGTGAGAGCCTGGTATGATGGAGTTTCAAACCCGTCGTGGTCACGTAGAAACGTTGCATGAGGTGCGGAGTCGCTAGACGAAAACGTACGAAACGTGTTTGCGGCAGCATCAAATCCAGAAACATACTGCAAACATGACTCTGGGTGTTGGATCTTCGACGTTGAAGGTAGTCTGGCAAGTGTGCCGAGCCAATCTGGTGTGAAGTCGACATGACTACTGGAGACTGAGACGTATGAATTGGTGTCGATTCCGGTGATGAGGTTGTGTCGGTAAGAACTTGGTACCAACTTGTCGTAGTCAGCAACAGCACAGTGTTGCATGAATCGTCCAAAGTTTACCGGTGGATAAACGGACATGTGGCTAGGGCGAGTTAGGGCTAAGCATTCGGAAGTCTGAGGTTTCAAAGCTTGGCAATGAACACAAATGAACCCTTGAATCCATGAAACTGAGAGTGGCTGAGGCGGTAGACGTTTATGCGTGCTGTTCGGGGTAGTTGACGATGTTCGGGCAATTGCCTCCAAGAATGTATCGCTGACTTTGTTTGGATGTTATCATTGTAGAGATGCGTACAATTACGCTGGAGTCTAATGTACGTCGAGTCGTGACTGCGCAAGTCCGTCGATCAGCCGTACTGCAATAGCCACGATGAAGATGTGCGGCAGGGTGCTAGGCGAATGCAGACCATACCTGCAGACGGTGATCAGGGTGATCAGGGTCTCGAACAGACCAAATCAAACCGGTGTTTCCATATCTTGAAGCACGAGAGCGGTCAGTTGAAAGTTTCGTTGTTCCCTTCTGGGAACAAGGTTTCCTAGTGGCACATCGTCGGTTTCAGGGATGTTGATACTGCATCTGGGGTAGTTTCTGCCTCCGGCGCGACCATGATCCGGCCTGAGTGTTCCTTTTGTGGCTGCTGGTGCGCGACTGGGGTGGAACTGGTGGCCGCGGCGGGGGTGTTGTGAGGTTGGAGTGTGATTCTGAGGCGCATAGGACGGCCACCAGCGGCTAGGCCCGCGCATTAGTCAGGGTCTTGGCAAACCTCCGTGATGCCGACCAACCGAGGCGCGTCTCACAACACCGGTCGACATCCGAATGAACGCATTTGGGCTTTCACGTGCGGCGGTCGTCGGCAGCGACGGAGCATTTGCTGCTATACAACCGCAGCTATTAGCTGCACAGCCACGACGCAGCATTGGTACGTCACTCTCATTGCAAATACTGATACACTTGCCAACTGAGGCGCTGACGATTGCGACAGTCTGAACGAAGCCATATCCTAAGCATAGAGTTCAAGTCACATGCGTTACGTACCGGCTGCGGTGCTTTTCCATTGCGACATCGAACTTAACGCCGCTCGGGCCCCGGTCTCTGTCGCAATGTGCCTCATACCTTTCGAAACGCCTCAGCAGTCTTCACCGTCCCCGGTCTCTACAATGGCGAGCAGAAAGAAGGGAGCTTGCAGCCGGTGTCGCGACTGTACGGTCGACGATAGAGGTAGGCTACGAGATCTTGCATGGTTGCTTCAAAAAAGCCGCAAGGGTTGGACAGAGCAGCTGCTACGATGCATCGCTGTGGTATTCTCGTGACTCAAGCTGAATAGCAGCATCGTAAGTTAACATCGTGCCGAACGCATCTCACAAAATGATGACAAAAGGCGTCTCCAACGCCCTTGTCGTCTGCAACTCTATCCCAGCGTCCCCAGTGGATACACATCCGGAATATTCCCTGTGTCCGGCTTCACAACCGGCACACTCTCGTACTTCTTCCCCTCTACCATCTCTCTCGCCCAAGCCGGACTTCTCCTCACCTTCAACAACTGCTCCACCGCATACCCAATTCCCAACAGCTTCTCTTCTTCCCAGGGCCTCCCCAAAATCTCCATCCCAATTGGGACGCCAATCGGTGCTTCGTCACTTGGTTCCGAGAAGCCCGCTGGCACGGTGACGACGGGCGTACCTGTCAACGCGGCCAAGATACCATTACGTCCAGATTGTGACGGCGAACCGATCTTAACGACGAGATTCTTCTGCTCGGGGTAGATGATCGCGTCGAGATTGTTCGACGTGAATGTGTTGAGAAGCGCGAGCCTGAGATTGCGGATTCCGGCTTGACGATCGTTGTATGTAGCGTTGCCGGTGGAGGATACGAGAGCCGTGTTGACGTATTCGTATTGAGAGGGGATGACGAGGAACTCTCCTCCGGACCCATTGACGGCTTTGCGAGAATATAGTTCGTTCAGTGTGCTGGGATGCTGGCCTTGAAGGGAAGGACGTTCCAGGTACTGGTCCATGAGCTCGCGGTACTCGAAGCGTTGAACATCGTATGCAGTTTGGATGGCGGTGGCGTTGTAGATGGTCTCGTTGATGGGAATTAGTGTCACGCCTTCTGCAGTGAGACGCGACATGACAGAGTCCATGGCATCATTGACCGGTGTAACTTCAGGTGAGTCGGTGCGGTTGAAGAAGCCGTTCAGTACGCCGATGCGCAACTCTTTGAGTGAGGTGCTGGAAAGCTTGGAAGCATAATTGGTGCTGCGGATGTGGCCTGGGACAAGTGCAGTGTCGTTGTCGGCTGCATCATAGCCTGTTGTAGCCATGACAGTCAGTGCTGTGGCGACGTCTTTGATCGTTCGCGCGATGGGTCCAATGACATCGTGTGTGGTCGATATGGGGATAATGCCGGTTCGAGTTATCAGTCCACGAGTGGGCCGGATGCTACATAGAGAGTTTGCCGATGCTGGGCTGCGGAGTGAGTTCACTGTATCCGTCCCGGTGCCGAATACGCAGAACGAAGAGGCGACGGCGGCACCCGTCCCACCCGAGCTTCCACCAGGTGTTCGTGTGGAGTCGTATGGGTTGATCGTCTGACCACCTAGAGAAGATACGCTGATGCCTTCCAAAGCCAGCTCATGCAGGTTGGCCTTGCCTAAGATGACGGCTCTTGCCTTCCTAAAAGCAGCCACGCTTGGAGCGTCTTCAGATGGTTGGGAATGCGCCAGGGCCAGATTCCCACCAGTCGCCGGCATGTCTGCTGTGTCGTAGTTGTCTTTGAGCAGTATCGGGACGCAAAAGAGAGGCCCAGTAGCATTCCCGGCTGAAAGCTGCTCGTCCAGCTCGTCCGCAATAGCCAAAGCATTGGGGTTCAATGTGATGATGGCGTTCGTCCGGTTGTTATTGGCTTCGATGTTGGAGAGGAAAGAGGATACCACTTCGCGACATGTTGAGAGTCCGGAGTAGAGCGCATGGTGCACCGAGTCGATGGTTGCTTCCCGTACATCGAAAGGCATGTTTTGTCCCGCCACCATGTGGCAGAGCGCTGCAAATGCGATGCGTGTGAAGTGCACCATTCTGGATAATGCTCAGTCTGTGTACGGAAGGTGCGGCCTGCGGACAATTACCAACTCATCGGAATTGCCATTTATACATCCTCTAAAGTGAATGGCTTGTCATACATCACCGCGGGTAGTTATCGCGACTGCAGTTCACGCGGAAAGCCTATGTTCGCATGTAGTCACGATGCTTGATAATGCAGGTGCCGATGTCTTGTTCCGATCTTATCGCGGGTAGCCTTACCCAAGTCCCGAGCATCGGAATGACGTCGTTGCCAAGACCGCTACCACCTGCCTCATCGGTTCAACATGGATGCACTTCGACTATATCGTATTCATGAGACGAGCCATAGTCTACATCGCCTCAGAATACGTTGTTAATTTTAAAATTTACGTCTACGGAGACTCTGGCGCAAACAAAGCGTAGAAGAGTTTTGAGGAGTCTTCTCACACATGTTGTCATCAGTCTCGTCTTTCTAAAATTGCTAGAAGGCAGCACAGCTCAAGGAATTGTACCTTTGTTGTTTTTGAAACCGAGAAGAGCAGACAAATCATGGGTTGGACTGATCCAAATTTTGGAACAACAGCAAGTGTGTGTAATAGAAGTCATGAACGAAAAATTGAGGCAGGAGCCGACTTTATATTGCACAACAGCGCCAGGACAAGCAATGCCACATTTCTATCATCGATTAGCATCTGTGCTTTTATCGCGTGTATCGCGTTTCTCTGCGCAAAATGACATCCTTCTGCTTTGTCGTGATTTTGAGGTTTCGCTACGCTTTAAACATGGATCTAGCCGTGTCGAATCTTTAAATGTCTTCTCAAGGTTCCTAGACATGAGAAATTTTGTTCATCATGTAAAATGAAAGAGAACAGACTTCGGCAGCCATATGGTAGTGCCATTGGTAAAGTTTGATGTAGGACCGTGGGGTTGATCCAGCAAAGTCGTAAGGTGTGTATCACAAGCGCTTTTCGATTTCATAACAGGGTGTGCTCCGCGTTTTAAGTAACCGACTGAACGATGAGAAGAACACATAATTGGAAGATGTCTGAATTTTGGAGTGAAGATCTCGGCATTTTGGTGTAAGAGTAAGGAAAAAAGACAGACGAAGAAGTCTTTACAGCAAAGGTAAGGATGACGCACACAACCACATGGAATAAAAGAGTCTTGATTTTAATTCCGACCCCACGGACATGGCCAGAAGTAGACTTGACTTTTAGGTAGATCTTTGGACTTTTATTCCACCAAAGTGGCGTTCGCGTAATCTCATGGAGCGGAGCATTGTACATTTCAGCCGCCGGAAACCGAACATCGTGGATGGCGTTAATCTTTTTGGTAAAACAGTAATTGTTTGTGTGATGGAGAAGACAGGAAGCATAATCACTGAGAGGGCTTTATATAACGATTAGCGCGAAGAAGGCGAGCGAAACGGGTAAGACTCATTCATGCCCGGCCGGAGCAGTGGGAGAGGCGACAGTGCATCGACACATGAGATAGCTACGACGCGTGTCGCGTTCTGCAAAACACTATCAGAGGTCAAAGTAGACATTGTCGTACAATTTATCTAGCTGTTGGGGTTCAATAGTCTGTATGCAGCATCATGCGACATGAGGTCTAGCTGATCCTGCAGGCGCATGGCATAGACGTGACCTCTCGTGATGTCGCCTGCACGGGTCTGTCAGCGATTTCGAAAAGAACAAGGAGCTGTCGTCCCATCATGATTTGTATTTATTGCATTAGTGATGAGCTGCAATCTATGTGTACTTCTCAGCCGTCGCGCCGCCACCTTCTTTCGCTACCGTCTTT